TGAGGCAAGGACAGGGAAATAATGATGGAGTACCTCAAAGTTTGATGCAAAAACGCACGATCGCACTGGCTCGCCTGGTTGGAGCTGTGGACTGGCTTGACCTCTTTTTGATAATAGGTATGTCTCTCCATTTTTTGGATAACATTGTTTAACATGTGATAAACTTTAGGATGCTAATACCAGAGTCCCGAATTGCTCCAAGGACAGGATTATTTTCAGAAATCTCGGATTTGGTTGCTAAATTTGAAAATGTATTACAGACATTCAAACACCTAAGCATATTACACACTAGTAGAACGTGCCAACCACTGGCGCCTCGCACTTACATAAGTACAAAAACACGTTCTCATTTGCAGAGGCGCAAAAAATACATGGACCAAAATGCAGAAGTGAATTTCAGGTCTTTTCCTTGCCATGCATGATGAACCAGCATCGTGAAAGTTCAAATTTAAATCGAAGAAAGAATGGATGGCTGGAGGACAGTGGATTCTGCTAGTTAGTCCAGCCCAGTTATGCTCTCAGAACGCAAAGATCTCACAGCGACGCTGACTTGCAAATGCGACCCTCAGCAGTGAATAATTTATTAGCATTGTGCGAGTATAATATATATCTGCATGCTTTCTGTGTACGTCGAAGCGTCCAGTCGACTCGTTCTCATGAAATTTATCCACTGCAAGTTGTCCGTCGAAATGCTCATTAATCCATCACATTTAGACGACAAACAATCAGCTGAGTTGAGGGTTTATGAAAAACGTTGGGAAATGGCCGAAGCTTCCTGAATGCAAAACGCAGCTGTTCGTAGCATCCGTGCCGCTACGGACAAAGCTTTCTTTCCAGAATCTGTCACTAGCAACAGCTGCCTAAAAACGCTTTAGACAATCTGATGAAAGGCTTACTGTCATTCACCGCTGCCTCCTGAGCAAAAACATCATTTCTTACGCGTCCAAAAAAACTATAGTCTTTCAATCTGCATGTGTAGAACACTAGCACAATGATTCATAAGCATTTTTTGTGTTTTTACATAAAATAACATGCAAATAGGTAAAATGCATTGTGACGAGATCGTGGCTAACGCTAGCTGTACATGCTGCACATGTCCGGATAATTCAAATCTACAGCTAGCAAGGTCATGAAGCTAAAACTTTTTAGCACATGGCTTTAAACTTGTACTCTCCCAGAAATGCAAAATTTCGTACACACTGCCTCTGAATCTTGCGTTGGAGAATGAGCTAAAAATCAACGCGCGCCTCTTACATGAAGACTCATGACGTTCTTCCGATTAATTTAATAACCACTGAATTAAGGAAGTTATATGATAAAAATTTCAAGATATTATTTATCGAATAAATCGAACGACCTCTAAATAAAATCCCAAACCCTTCTGCATTCAAAACTACAATTTCAGATCTAAAATTAGACTAGTTTCATAAATTCATAGTCGGTTCAAGTTGGTTACTGAAAGTCAGGGGTTCTAGATCTGTGATAAAATAGGGTGATGTCAGAGGTCCTAGATTTAAATAGGATAATGTCACAGCTTTATAACGCAGCGGGCCTTAGATCAGAGCTTTTGGTGTTAACCCCATGCTAAATTGATATGAATAAATCATTAAGCAGTCTTGCATCACAGTGGAGCATTCTTCAACTGATATCTGCAAAAAAGCTTGCTGCAAAAACACAACCGTGCTACTTCTTTAGTGCATTCCTCTGTCTGTTTGAAAATCACAGTTTAACTGCAGTGTCTCTTTTTTTTTAAACAAAATTCAATGCAGACCAACAACATCAAGTTAAATGTGTAAAAATCAAATGTACGATATGTGCAGCGCTTTGGGCTGATATGCACCGAAATTAGAGGTGTTTTATCCCCATTTGATGCTGAATTTAGCTTGATGGAAACAAAGATTCGCTAAAGATGAAAATGGAAGCCGCTATATTACGCTAAAAGTAAAGAGCAGGACCTGGGACTTAAACTAAATGAAAAAAAATGATAGTAAAATATGAGCAGATTCACAAATCAGGGCTCTTTTTTAGCGTCTTTTATGCAGGACCGTTAGGAATAGTTGTGCTTTTCTTTTCCGTACAGGAAAAAAAATGAATGTGTCAAGTTCGACATAATACGAACTCTATGCGGTTCATTTTCACCCCTAGTTGGGGGATACTTTTCAGCGCGCAATAACCTTTGTCTTCGTTCCAGCATTTCCTTAAAGCTGCATTTTTTTATACAAGAACAACAATAAGTGCAATCAAAAATATCAAAAGATAAATGGAAAGTAGAAGCAGCCGCATGTAATTCACAATTGTCGTCCATTTGACATTCTTTCCTGCAGTATTTATTATTATTTATTACAATTATTCAGTTGTTATAGTTGTTTGATCTGCAGTTCGTCTTTGCGATCTTGCTATGGCACGAAAACTACAAAAACGCATAATCGCGCTGGCCCGGCTGATGTGTTCCAGCCTGGGTTCGATAATGACCTAGCTGTTCAGTGAGTAATTTCCTCGCCCAAACTTTAACTACTCTGCGTATGAACCACGCATATTTGAGGGCTGGACAAGAAACATTCTGCCTTTCGGCTTTTCAGGTTCCCGAGTTGGAAATTTCTTCCAAATTTTCGCAAGCCCGTATCTGAACACTATGCATACCTAGAAGCTGAATTCGAAGTCTTCGAGTTGTACGTGGATGAGAAACATCCTCTTAAAACTTTAATTTTCCATCTTTTCTGGTTCCCGAGATCGCTTTTCAACCCCAATAAAAATTGCTCTGTCGCGAGAACCGTAAGTACCAGAATCGATCCACAATTGTTATAGAAATCCAATGTGAATGGTATTGCTGGAATGCATCCAAACCACTGACGTTACGATTTCTGACCTTTTTGCTGAACCGTTTGCCATTGGTTACTATGTTTCCTGTGCATGTGCTTCATTTTTTCGTAGCTTATCTAAGTGTCCATCTTCCTTCTTGCGATTAGCGTCACTAATATTCGATGGCCACTGCTTACTGGTAACAAAGACAACTGTCTTTTATCATGTGCCCGCAGTGATATTCTGGACGCCGTTTCTACGGAAAATCGGACTCCTTTATGGTTACGAATAGACATGCCAAGCAATTTTCACTCCGCCGCTCTCTTGTCACTGACCGCATTCGCTGTTCTGTTTGGGTTAGTGTCGGCTTTTCACACCCAATGTCTGCTTTAAACAAAGTAATGTTAGGAAGGCAAGTACGGCCCTTTCAGTTCAAAACTTCGAAGATGTTCGGTGTGTTATGAAATTTCCAGCAACCTTCAGTTCTGCAACGTGAAATTTCTGGCTGAATATTCTGACGCATGTTTATCCTGTTGTTCGATGCATGCACAGCCACCAAATTCCTCCAATCAACGCTGCCTATATGCACTACCGCTGTGAATATAATGGCATACTGTACCACCCTCGTTTTCGGAGTATTACAGGCTCGCTTCCTTATACTAGGTCCGCGCTCTTGCAGCACCTTATCCCTATACTATATCTGCGCTTAAAAAGTAGGATGGGTGACGAGTCACGGGTTCAACAAACATGAAGAATCCTTTGCATTTGCGCAGCACATGTTTTCCATACAATCACATGCCAGTACTCCAATATTTCCAGTCCACTTCCTCAAGCAGCGTATCTATTCTGCAGATATCATCAAGGCAAAACAAGCGGCCTGCCGAATGAAAAGAGCTCTCGGCAATGGCGATTTTGTTCAAATTCATCAGAACAGAACGGCGCAGAATTTGGTTCGCTGTCTCTACTTGGCTAAGATAAGATTACTAAGCAGCTGAAAATCGTTTTGCTGCAGAAAGATAATACAGAAAACATGAAAAATTATCGCCTCTAATCTACTTACATTTTTCATATTTACAAGACACTCACTAAATTTTTTGCTATAAATGACGCTCAAGACTTCTCGATGAAAAATAGCACAGGAAACAAGCTGGCTTCCGAATTAAAACACAGAGGATCTTTTTTCCGTCATTGATTATCTGTTGAAGCCTACATTGGAGTAATTCTCTCTCTTTTTTCTTCCTCATTTTTTCCTTCTGGTATGATATAAGAAAGCATTCGATAGTATTAAGCCGAAAGTAAAATTACAATAAATGTACATCACGTCTGAGAAAAGTTACCGAAAAATTTTTAGTTGACCATTCAGTTTCTTTTTTCCATAAAAATTAATGTTTAAAAGAATGGCCGATAACCTGTTGCTGTTTGCTGCTCAGAGTCTGGACCATCAGCAGGAGCACCAAACGCTCTTATTCGCCAGCGAAAAGGTATAATCCTATTAAGATTTAGTAGATACTGGTACCATCTGCTTACCGCATCCTGCCTTTTCAACAAATATCGCAACCAGAGCTGCATAAATACTGCCACAGAAGTGAGTACAAGGCTTATAGCAGTAAACCAAACTGTAAGTCATTTTCATTTTAAGAGATTTTTAAGGTGTATCTTGTAAAATAAATCTACTGTAAGCAACTGCAGCAGCTAGCAGTACGCATCTGGCATTCGCCAATGGAAAGAGCAATCTAGAACAGGTGACCTGCGATCACGATCATTTATATTTGTCCAGCGCAGCCAAATTTAACCTCACAACCCTCCACTACAGGCTCAGTTTTTCATCCTGAAGAGTCCTGCAACTGATGTGAAACTGAATGAGTTTAATACCCCACTGAACTTAATTTGTTTACCTCGATCTAAATTTCTTGCTTGCAGTAGTTCTTTTTACATACTTGCAAATACATCTTTTGAGTCAGTTTTTTATAGACGGAATTTTGCATTGCATGAAGTTGTGACAAGCAGGTGAACTGGAGCTAAGAGTAGGGATAAGGGATAGGCGCGAAGAAAAAGGGCGTCAGTCTCTTCCTTGCACTTGTGAGAAACGATAGGAAATAAAAAACAAAGTGTCTGTTATTTTTCGGATAGCAATAAATAATGGGATTAGTGGAAATGATTAGTAGTAATTTAGTGGTTAGAAAAAGACTGCAAATTTTCGTCGAGCTTTGATGGAGCTGTAATCAAGTTTTTTTTCAAAGGAGGATGAGAATGCTGGCGATTTCAAAAAATTGTATGTGCATCGAAGCTTCCAAAAACCCCCGAGAAATTCACTTCCACCTACCGGATAAAATAATGACGCATACTTTTCGGAAAAAGAATTTAACTTTATTATAAGCTTCCTTTAAAAAATTAAAAACAGATGACCAGCTCTCGGAGATGCCGCATACTATCGAGTAGTTTTTGATTTTGAAAATGTTTCCGAAAAAGTACAACTTACAGTGAGGCAAAAAGAGCGCCAAAAGTCATACACTGAATAGAGAAAAAAATCTAACCGATTTTAGGTAATCGTCCAATAGCTGGCGGTATCATTACGGTGAGATCTTCGAGGAATGTACCCAGGAAGAATAAATTTGCGAGGAGGACATAAATGGATGAGTTAGGCGAGGGTAGGAGAAATGAAAATATTATAAACATATATGAGATCAACGCCGGCAACAGAATTGCTAAGGAAAAACAGAATGCGTTCCGATGCAGCGTCAGCCAGGTGTACAAGATTGACCTGGAAATAATAATACCATCAGTGTCTCTTTGAGCTTAGTGTCTCCATTCATTGGTATTTTTAGTAAATGCATTGTAGTAATGAAGAGTGACGCTTGGAAGATCCGAGGATAGTGAAGGGTGAGCAGTTTAACTTTTTCTCGACCCAAGCTTATTCTGTATAAAATCGATCCACTGGCGGTAATTATGTTAGCGGACAAATGCAACACTGACCACGAAACGTCGAGCTGTTCAGCTTCTGTTGGTCGTTCACTCCTGTATTTGCCTCCAGTGAAATAGCTTACATTCATTGTAACGGAATCGATCAGCCAGTCACTCACGTGTTTTTTATCCGATTGCTCACCCCAACCTAGAATAACGACTCTTTGCACAGGTTTACAAACAGCCAATGAAAAACAGGTCCTAACGCTGTTTCAAATTGGAAATTCACATTAAGTCAAGCTAGGCAATATACTGACAAAGAACACTCTTTTGCATTACAGGACATATGCTAAAGAGAGGTAACTTTTCCATGCTCTTGAGGTCAAAAAGACAGAAATACATTTGAAATAAATACATCACCTTTTTACCGCAACTTCAGCGAGTTCTGCATGACATCCGAAAAATACTGCTAAACTCCCACCGCTTCTACTGGTTAAATTCATTTTAAAAAAGTGGTGGAAAAAGGTAAATAAAGGTCCTTAAATACGCGAAAAAGAATGCGACGCTTTCAATGCTTTTTTTTAGAAAATCGAAAAATAATTGGCCAGCGTATTGACTATCTGTGCAAAGATGCGTTTTTCTATAGTTCTCCACAGGTTTTTGTCGCTACCACTTTTTTAAGCTGTTTTTTCCGGCAGATGCATCTAGGTAAAAAAACTGAGACTGGTCCACCACGACTGTGAGAAAACATTTCCTTAAAATTTCAGCTTTCTAGCTTCTTTGGTTCCCGAGTTAGCAGCTTACAGGTCCGTGTAAAAAATTTCCACGGATCTGCAGGTGGAAACTACGAGGGCAAGAGTGTCCATTTTAGGAATAGGAGCTCGTACGTGTAGATTATCCCAAGGTTCTCGAGAAGAACACACAGACACAGACAGGCATAAACACAAACAAACTCTCGAAAATATGCGTTATTGCACAGTATAGGTGCAAAAAAAAAACGCATGATAAATAAACCATTGATCAAGACTGCACCAGGCTGATTACTGGAAGAAAAATTTTCAACCACAGCAACTGTGAAAGGGCTACTCGTTGCACTTGTACGTAAAGTGAGTAATGATGTAACGAGTGAGCAACGTGGACTATGTTCTGTTCTTAAGCAGAATCATTCTTTGCATGCTTGCGTAAAGTTATGATTAGACAAATTTTCAAAGCAAAACCAAGTAGAACGGTTGGCTGCATATTATAGTACACAGAAAGCTGCACTTCGCTCATCCGATTACTTGTATAAATTCCAAGAGCACATTTTTGCGAATCAAATGGGTATGCGGAGTAATCGAACGCACAGCCAATCTTGATCGAGAACGTGGGATATATCTCTACGCGGCTCCACTGCAATTCGTTTGAATTTGCGTTTACTAATGGTTTCGGGGAAACACACCTTCAGCATCCAGAAATGTGAGGCAGCGTCGTTGAAGTTGATGGTACTCAACCAAAATAGTTTTGCCGACAAACTCACACGCAAATCTCCTTTTCCTGTTTGTAACTGAACCTAGTAAATTCGAAAAAACATGCAAAAATTGGCTTTTTGCTATCGATTTGGTACAACTGGAAAATTTTGACAGAAATTTACCCCTCAGGGACTAAAAAGGTCTTCAGTTCAGCTAAAGTTCCATTGTATAGACTTGACTTTACAAAAACGATAGGCTCGCTCTATTAAGTGCCTGTATTTTTCCTTATCTTTCCTTTACCTTCTAAAAACGCGGCTGAATTGACAAATTAATTAGTGTTTTTTT